TTTTCGATTGGCTCGTATATCCTGAAAATCGACATGGTAAAATTACAACCATCGTACAGCTCAGTACCATAACAAATATTAATAATTTAAGGCAGGCGTACTTCTCGGTACGTAAAATTCAAAGTAATCCCCAACGCGTCTCATTTGTTACTGCGTATAAATTGACACTACATGTATCTGGGGCACGTTGCACGCAAAGAGTACCAACCAAAAATACACACAGGACATTTTAAGTGGCTCGAAACAAAACCTATTCGCTAATTTTTGTTTCGAAAACATCTACGACGGCTGAAAACCCTGCAGCCCGTCCTGCATGTTTTTTTTTACCAGGCAGGAGACGCCGGTCAGCGTGGCGTTGCCCCAGTGGTTTCCACTGTGCATCCAGTAGTTAATGCCGACATCACGGTCTATACATTTCACATGAAGCATGGTATTCAGCTTAACCATATTTTCTTTTTTGCTCCATGGCTTAACTTAATAGGAACAGTAACTCGAGCAATAAATGTGCCTTCCGATTTGAGGGATATTGTGCCGTGTAATATTCAATGAAAAAAATAGTGAAACACGAGGCCCACGCTGGGGGCCCACATAAAGTGTTGCAATAGTGTAAATATCACAAAGCCAGACACTGATTGTTTCCTTTGCTAGGTCAAATCAATGTACAGAATAATCGGATGAAACAACAAAGGTAAACTAGGATATATTAGAGCCAATGAATTCGTAATTTCCGACGAAAAGGGCTGGGAAAGAATACTCCTCATAACAAATCACCGTCATAACAAATCACCGTGTTGAGGGGCGGTGAACAAATGAGACACCGATTGTCAAATTGATTTGGTCATCATCGCATGTCATGTCATTTGTACAGGGTACTCTACACAAAAATAAGGTAAACCAGCTTACTTAGTGCTAATGATTTTGTGATTTCCCACACGAAGAACGTTCTCAGAAATAATCCGACATGCTGATCAGTCCACCAACAATCGGCACCAAAATTGATCACTGCTGTCACGGTAAATTCGGTAAGTTTTACGAGTTTTTTTTCTCCAAATCCCAACATATATTTACACATGTACGCGAATTTTGTCAGCTCTGTGTAAATAGATATTTTTACTGGGAATGTGCCCCATTTTACGTACGAGAAGCCCTTACACAACGCAGTAGTCATCAACACACATAGACATCCTATATCTACTAATCGACTTGATAGCTTCGTAATTTGGGGGTGAAAGTGCACCATGCAAGTTTCCAAATGTGTAAAGGAAAATAAAGGAAACAAGTAGAATACAATGTTAGTAAGCAATACAAAGGAAATATCTCCTTACGA